ATGTAAAACCTCAGTCCACAAAGGAAGAGGCGAAAGCTGAAACTTGGTGAGGTTTACAGAACAAAGGCAGTTATTTCTAGTTTCTTACTGACTCTCGAAGATACATTTAATAAAACAATTAATGCGTGTGTGTGTGTGTGTGTGTGTGTGTGTGTGTGTGTGTGTGTGTGTGTGTGTGTGTGTGTGTGTGAGGTAGAAGACGAATTGTACACCATAAAAATGGCTATGTATGTAGTTGGGGTAGATATGTTGAATGCCCGGCCAGTATGACCTTTGAGTCACTACAGTTTCAGTCATTAAAATGCGTAAAACAGTATTTGATTGAAAGAAAACACTATAAGTGAGTGAAACAAAAGACCTCAGTACAGGCACACCCAGTCCCCCAACCCCAAGTCTGCATGTATCAATACTCATACCTGCCACATCCTCAACCACTTAACTTACTCACACAATCATCTGACAACATGTTCGCCAACCCTCATATCACAACGCATGCACGCACGCACGCATTCTTCTTTCCCCACCATTATGTCTACGTCAGCCATCATGGATCCATGCGCATGCTTTCATACATAATCCATCCTCCCACCATTCCCCAACATCCATCGAACTATAACTATATCCGCCCTCATTTATCGGTATTCGTGTTTCATACATACATACACCCCCCTACCATTCCCCTACATCCATCGCAGTATAACTATGACTATAACCGCCTTCGTTCAGCACTTATGTTCACATTGCATTGCATATGCATCGAATTACACGTTTAAAAAATCGTAAATATTTTACAACATGTACATATTATATATCAGCAAACAGAGATTATTATAACGCAATAGATTTCATCCCTCAAAACATCACAGAAAGAGGGGCAGCCTGGAATTTTACAATGTCATCTGAATGCACTAAGACGTTCAACTGGTCAGGAGGTGAGAGTTGCGGAAGATTACGGTAAACTTCAGTTACAGATCTCAATTACGAATATCTAAAGTATGAATAAAGATCACAGCTTGCTATGACGTGTACTTCATGTCTGCAGAATTAGCAATGTCCTTAGCTCTAAACTTTATGTCTAAATGCTTATGTAGACAAAGACCCAAATGTATATAGGCATGACCATATTATATCCTACGCAAATATCACCACATTTAAAAACAAAGCTAGATTGAGTCTTTGAAGGGCATTAAAAACTGATACACACAAGGAAAAATATTTATGGATGTCAACGGAGGAACACTGCGTTTCGGAATATATACTTTCTCCTTCATCAGGTGCATATTATTAAATGCTATGAGGCAGAGAACATATATTTGTACCTGTAAGAACAACAAAAGTAAAAAGATAGCAAAGAAGGGAACGCAACAAGGGAAGCCAACAGATAACTGGCATGGCGCTGATTACCCCGCCTCCCGTTTGCCCATTGTCCATTTCCCATTACCAATCTTTCATACGTTAAGTTTTGGCTTTAATTTGTCCATTGATAATCAACCATCAACGTCTATTATCTACACCCTAAAAATATGTAGTTTACTGAGAAAGTGGTATCCAAATATAATGTGTGTTACTGTTGACCACTTTCTTAAAGGCATTGTTGGTTCCAAGCTTTCGGTCATAGAAGCCGTGCCATTTTCTCTTGTCAGAGGAGTACACAAAGTTTACGTCATCTGGACTAACATTTTTGGTTTGGTGGCTGGGTTAGATCGCCAACTTTGTGTTCTGGCGATTGGGTGCCCCACTCACAGTGTGGGTTCAAATCCCGGACGGGACTCAACCCAAGAAAGTACGAGAATCTGTACTTTACTCAGAAAGTGTTATCCCAATTATAACATTTGTTGTCAAGAAAACACAATAAATGTATATTCGGCTTTGGATGGGTAATGATATCACATACATATACGGATATTGATGATGACTTGGAGGAGCTTCGTAACGCACGTCTTCTCAATTCAGGGATTGGTAAATCCAAATATGTGTGTGCGCGTGCGTGCGTGCGTGCGTGCGTGCGTGCGTGCGTAAATGTGGGCCTGTTGGATGTTACATAAAACATTCATCTTGAGCGGGATGGTAGTTCGAGTTGGATTAGCATGTTAACTATATGATCTTCTTTAGGCAGAGAATGCCGCGCATGAATGTATTGATGAAATTCCTAGGTACATGGGGCCTTTTCGTCCTCAGGAATACCCACAGTGGAGACTTCAAGGGGGATAGGGTGTACTCAATGTGCTACCTGGTAGATTGTGTGTCATCAGACTGGACAACGTTGGTCTTTGACTGATTGTGGCGTGAAACACACTTATTCATTTACTTATATCGGAAAATTGAATGTTCATCTTAATTGTTATTGTTGAACATGTAATATATTTTTAAAGAAATAAAACAGTGACATAATAACTACAACTTTATGTGAGCGCGAGTAGCTTTTTTGGAATGAGATGAATAAGTCTTATAAAGTTGTAAGCTTCTTCACAACCGTGTATCTATGAATTGACTTTACTGGGTAATCAAAAAAGAGATAGGACCTAAAATAGCCAAATTTCATACGATTTCACTTGTCCACCATCTTGGATGCAAGGCGAAAACATTTCAGCGCGTTTGAAGCCACTGAGAATGCCCCCTGCAGAGTTGGATGAACATTCTGCGGTGGCGCGGCTGAGTTGACCAGAGGCTCTCGGCAGTATTTCCTGTCCAGGTTATTTAGGTCAGTTGTGTGTGTGTGTGTGAGTGTGTGTGTGTGTGTGTGCGTGCGTGCGTGCGTGCGTGCGTGCGTGCGTGTGTGTATGTGCGTGTTTGCGTGCGTGCGTGCGTGTGGGGGGTGGGGGCGGGGGCATGGGGGGTGAGATTGGGGGGATAGATGATAGATTTAGCAACAAGTAAGGTCATCTTGAGTGGGAGGGTATTCGCAGATGGATTAGCATATGAACTATGATTCTCTTTAGGCAGAAAATGAGGATCCACGATGTTCGACCTGGTAGAAGTGTGTTATCAAACCTCACAGCATTGGTTTTTTGACTGACTGTAGCGTCAAAACAAACTCATTCATTTACTTGAACTGAATGTTCATCTTAATTGTTATGGATAGTCACGAACCCATGATCCAGAGAACAGGGTGTCATTAGATAGAAATAAACTAAGTAATAATAGGATTACCAGAAAAACGGGGTTTTACACACAAGCCAATAAACTTCGCTCATTAACACCAGAGTAAGTCAGTACAAGATTGACAACTGCCCCATAATTATGTATGACATGCTTGTCGGGTATTGCTACATATATATGTGAAAACAAAGTTATTAAAATGAAGAGCAAAACTGATGAAAGTTAACAATAAACGTGTATACGTGTTATATCGTCACTGCTAAAATAATGATTGTTTGTCTTTAGTATTAACATTCAAATACGTTAAATCTGTATTAGCGATATTGTCTTTGTTCCATCGGTGAGTCAGCGTTAGCCGTACTATCTCGTAGTATAATTGAATTTATGAAGACATCATGATACAGTTTTTACGATGTATCACGTCTGCACTAGCGCTTGATAACAGCCTTGTGTTTGGGTGTTTCAGTGGTTTAAATCGCTGCTATTGATATTGTTGATTAAACTTTGATACTATGAACAATATAATGTTATGTGAGAGGTTGACTTTAGAACGGTAACATACTAATAGTATATAGGATGACATAAACAGAACAATGAGAAGTTCGTCCAGATTAGTGTATAGGCAACATTTAATAATTAAAATAATTACATTCAACAACTCCCCTTTTAAGTCCATTATCCTGACTTATAAGTAAATGCAAGAACAATCGCCCGGAATACAATGTATAGTTCTTGTCCACTTCCATATGACTATATAGCATACAATAAGCTATCGGGTCCCGTTTAGATCGGTTTGGGTGGCAGCCTAGATAGCCATAGAATAGTTTTATCTTGGAATCTCCCCTATCACTGGGGCCCCTCTTTAATTTAAATGGAGTTACTCGTTACGATTCCGAACCTTCACGTGACTGTGTTTATGAACCATTGTCAAATAATGGTGACATTAAATCTAAGAAACAATACGCGAAGTCGCGCATGCACAGAATGAAAATTTGGTCAAGGCATTAAGTAATCCGCATGCGCAGAACGATTGATTTCAGTACTTCCGCTAAGCGCTTCGAGTGCAGCGTCAAACGCGGGCCTGTAATCTAACACGCGGGGACTGACCAATGAAAACTGAGAAGTAGAAATACCGGTAGACGCTGCTGCTTCATTGACAATGTCAATCAAGAAAGGGTGGAGCTTAACGCTATCGTTCTCTCCCAGTAAATTCCGATGTCAAATAACGACGTTATTTGGACGGAAAAACGATGGTTTGAAAACGTCCAAATAACGTCGTTTTTCCGTCCAATGACCATATATGGAAAAAAACGACGTTTTCGTGTTTGCAGTGTTTGATGGTGAATCATGAACACATATTTTGGCAGAGATTTATGAATATTGAAAGGGGTCTGTCGCTTTTATTGTTATATAAATGTGGTATCTAAAGAAATCAAGTGCAATATGTCAATCATTCAGTTTTGATATGCATCCATATTGTACCGATGAACGTCTGGGGTTAAGTGATAGTTAGAAGGATCTATCCGTCTTGGAGTAAACTAGGCCTATTCGAATGACTATATGATGGCTAGAACTTGTCCGTTCCGTTCGTGATGTTATGACATTCATATGCATATACACCTGACAATGTATCACACTGTGCATCCCTAACAAAGATCCATCTGACAAACCCACCACAACTAACCCAGGTACTCAATGTGAAGGAAAGTCCACATCACTGACCTGTTCCTCATCCCTTGATCTTGGCAATGTAACTCACACTGTGCATCCCTAACACAGATCCACCTAACAAACCCACCACAACTAACCCTGGTACTCTGTGTGAGGGAAAGTCCACATCACTGACCTGTTCCCCGTCCCCTGACCGTGACAATATATCACACTGTGTATGTATAATACAGATCCACCAGACAAACCCACCACAACCAACCCTGGTACTCTATGTGAAGGAGAGTCCATATCACTGACCTGTTCCTCGTCCCCTGACCATGGCAACCCTCCGGCCACCTTCTACTGGACAAAGAACAACGCAGCAGTCCACACAGGCAGCTCCTACACGTTCTCTCCAGTGGAGGCTGACAACGGAGCTGACATCAGATGTGCTGCTGGTAACACCTACACAGAGAGAGCTGGATCCTCACGTCAACAGTCAGATGCCAGGCAACTCAGTGTATATTGTAAGTACGTTTTCTTATTTAGGTTGGAATCATTACCTCTTTACCTACTGTTCTACAGTTATCAACGTTCCTATTTAATGCAATGAAATCACTTCATCAGTAGTTGTATTATTGTAATGTTAGGTGTCTTAGCCTGTGGCCTCTAACTTAAAATAAAAGTTTATACTCTATCACTTCTATTGTGGCGTATCAAATGTTGATGCCATACGTTGTTTTCAGGAAGGTGGAGGATGTTTGAAGTGAAATATGCTTCGTACATTGCAATTTCATTCATCTCATTCATGCTAGTAGTACCTATTCTATGTGCAAATCAGAAACTACAATTAACCCTTCAGATGTTGGCGTGCCAACAATAACTCCGGCTGCCACACAGACCAGGAAGGAAGGACAGAGCTTGTCTCTGACATGTTCAGCTGATGGTAATCCTGACAACGCTGTCATCGCCTGGACCTTCAATGATTCCCCCATGCCAGGGAGCAGTGTGATGAAAGCTGACCTGAACAGATCTGATGACGGGGAATACGTCTGTACTGGGAGAGTCAACACAGGCAGTGTGTGTCCTGGTGGTAGTCTACAGGAGAGGTCTACTGTCAGGGTGATTGTTAACTGTGAGTACAGATAGTGTCTGTGTATATCACATTAGTTAAAGCAACATAGATGTCTACAGGGGAGGTCTACTGTCAGGGTGATTGTTAACTGGAAGTACAGATAGTGTCTGTGTATATCACATAAGTTAAAGCAACATAGATGTCTACAGGGGAGGTCTACTGTCAGGGTCATCGTTAACTGTGAGTACAGATAGTGTCTGTGTATTTCACATTAGTTAAAGCAACACAGACGTCTACAGGGGAGTTCTACAGTCTGGGTGATTGTTAACTGTGAGTACAGATAGTGTATGTGTATATCACATTAGTTAAAGCAACATACATGTCTACAGGGGAGGTCTACTGTCAGGGTCATTGTTAACTGTAATTTGAGAAATTGACGTATGTGTTTATATCTATCTATCACCAGGTAATCCACACCAGTCTGGTGTGTCGGGGTCATCACTTGGAATTGGCCTTGGTGTAGGACTGGGGATATGCATCATTGTTATCATAGTGATGGGTGCAGCACTGATCTATCTTAGAAGGCGTCACCTACTGTCACCACATGATCGAGGTAATGTGAAATCGATAATAGGCTTTTCTGCCGTTCTCTGATTTATTCTTTCAGTGAACAATTATCAGAGAAAATAGGAATTCGAACCCATTTTGATATGTTTCTGGCACGCCTGAAGGACGCAACCCTGCCCAGCGAATTGCGGCGCCGTAGATCAATCATCAAGTATTTATGAGAAAGAATAAGCGATAATTCTTAAGCCATGACATGGTAGTGCCACTTATGCGCTCATGCATAACTGAACCAGTGGCGAAAGAAACGTTCATCAGTCATTAGCAGGGAGTATCTCACTGTCAATTATTTATACAATTATATATTGAAATAGTCATCAATAACTATGCACTTACAATTACCAGTCTATTAAAACAAGTCCAATATATAAAGTGTATTGATGTTCTTCGAGGAATTTTCCTGGTGACTTCATCCGTGATACTTATGGTTTGTATCATTTGCTACAGGTAGACCTGCTGCTCAGATTCAAGACAGGTAAGTTGTGCAAAACACTCTCAATTTGTTTTGACTTTACAGAAAATAAAACATGCACCCTGAAAACATTGTATCAATGGAAGTTATTAATGCTATGCTTAATAATGAAGTTGACAACAATCACCATCAGTTGTTGGATGAAAAGGTTTCTATAGTATTCTCTTTATTTTCTCTTCAGAGACACTCGGGAGCAACCAATAGTAAACACTCAGAACTCAGGTAAGAAAATTGCTTTGATATTTTCATTATGTTTTGCTCTAAGCAGTCATATAGGAAGAAAAGGACACGGATCCAATTCAGAAGCATCGAAATCAGCACCAAGTACATGTAAATGAAATCAGGTTCATGTCCTTACCACCATGATGCTAATGAAGTTTTTATCCTGTTGAAGAACATCTTGCTGTGCGAAGTCAGAACATTTTACATTGGTGCGCTGTCAGAACATACGAGGGGCGTTCAATAAGTTTTGCAACTTGGACATGTGTGTTTACACAAATAATGTGAACTTGTGGCAGGTGTAACACTAGTCATAACATAAGGTTGACACGTGTCATGACAAGTTCCAGACACAACAATAAGTTAGATGTGATCACTTCATCCACCTGAGGGTGGTCACAATCATGGATTCTCTCAAACATGAACAATGTGCTGTAATAAAGTTCCTCCTTACCAATGAGGGATGCAAAACCAAAGAAATCCATGATCGCATGGGTAGAGTGATGGGTAAGGATGTTCCTGACTATTACACAGTTTGCCGTTGGTCTCTACAGTTTAAATGGGCTAGGGAGTCCATAGATGATGACCCAGATCAAGCAGCCCTTCAGATGGCACCAAACCAGAAACCATTGCTGCTCTAGAAAGAAGACTTTTGTCTGACCGACGAGTGAAAGTATCTGAACTTTCTAGGGAGTTCCAAATATCAGTTGGAACCGTTGTAACCATTATTCATGAGCATCTTGGTATGTCCAATGTATCTGCAAGATGGGTACCTAGAAACCTCAGAGCTCAGGATCGCCATCAGAGAACTGAAAGTTGTTGAGACCTCCTGGATCTCTATACTGCTGATAAAGCCGGATTTCTTTCTTGTCTTGTGACAGGCGATGAAACATGGATCCACCACTGGGACCCAGAAACTAACTTGGAATCCATGCAATGAAAGCCCCCAAGTCTCCGCCTCCGAGGAAGTTGCGCACTCAACCTTCGGCTGTCAAGGAAATGACCACCATAGTTTGGGATGCAAGAGGCATATTACTGAATGATTACATGCAACCAAAAACTACAATCAATGGACAGTATTATGCTTATGTAATGAAAGAATTGCGAAAATATATTCGCCAGAAACGCCGTTGGGTGTTAACACGTGGTATTCTACCTTTGCATGACAACGCTCCGGTTCACAAGTCGAGAATTGCACAGGCCGCCATATGTGAATGTGGATTCCAACAGTTAAATCGCCCACCCTACAGCTCAGACTTAGCCCCTTGTCACTATTTCCTGTTCCGGCGAATGAGATCTGCCCTACGTGGAAGACGTTTCTAGGATGACGAGGACATAAAGGCTGCCACAGAGGCGTTGTTGGAAGTGCAAAATATATTCTGCGACTTGGTCTTATATTGAAGTTGTAAAACTTATTGAACGCCCCTCGTAACTAACAAATCCCTCAGCTATCACTCATTTTAGATTGGTAGACAGAAAATTAGATATACAACATTCATTGAACGGTTATTACTACAACTGAGACTGTCTTCAACATTGTGATTGTGACCAAAGTTGCTGTCAGAGTCACATAGGGATCGTATTCATGGGTCAGCATGAGTCTTTAAATTTGTTTACAATCAAAATAATGTCACGCGCGTTATGCTATACATTCTACTATCTGGTGATTACTTTTGAAGTGTTTAATGCTGAATCATATTGGTTGAGTTTAAAAGTGGTTGTAGCAACGTGCGTATACTGAAGACATATGGGTGAAATTCACATCCACACAATCCCACATGTCGGTGAGGTGCTCCATACATTTTGTATTCTTTTACAACATTATATAGTGAAATCTGTTTTGGTAAATATTGTTAATGTTATTTTAACCAGTGGCGATTATCTGTATGAACGGTGTAAAACAGTTATATGCCCACTTTACAAGAATGGATATGTTAATGATATGCAGAACTTCAGAGGAAACTCACTGCTGCCAGCTATTGGGAAAATATTTGTTGAAATCCTAAAGGGAAGATTACAGAAATGGTCAAATGCAGACATAACTATATCAAATATCAAATTGACTGTTTCAGTGTTTTTCGTGACTGATGGGGACTTTCTTTAACATAAGTTTCAGAATCTTGTCTTTAAGATATTTAAAACAATTATGAAAAGTGGTTCTATAAAGGAAAACATATAAAAGTTAACTCGAATTACAAATATCTTTGAATTAGTTTATTCCCAAAGCCGCATCCTCAACAATATCACAACAAGCAGAGAAAGTTTGCCAAATGATCTTCGAACTTCATAATCTATGTGTTTGACTGGAGATAAATATCGGGTCAAGATTATTTGATACAATGGTGTTACCTCTCTTAACCTACGATGGAGAAATATGGGGATTTAAAACCGACTATTTCAAGTGAATTTTGTATTTACCTAAAACTGCTAATAATGCTGCTGCTCTTGTGAATTGTGGCTGAAAAACTTTATACAAGCCATATCTTTCAAAGCGTATATCACCTTTTGCATAACAATAGACTTCCTAACGTACCTAATGTACGTTAAATTATGAGTTTGATTTCTTTCTTGCAAGTATAGCTTTTGTCGATTTAATTAAAAGGTTTAGTCGCCATCGAGTTTATTATAATCCATGTTTTGACTGTTTTGTAAATCTAGCCAAAACAAAATGTCCAACTGCATAAAATGTATCTAATTTTGTATTTCATCCTTTAAGTTATAATCGTCAGTACGCATGTGATTTTTTGTATTGCATAATGAAACACATATAGTATAATGTTCTGTCCTGTAGGCATGTGGCATTTTAGACAATTTCGGGTTGTATTCTCACATTGCAGACATCCAGGATCTTAGTCAATATGCCAGGTTTGAGGAGTGTGCATCGCAGCCTTATTCCCAGTTGAAGATCTACGAAAACACTAAAGGTGAGTTAATGGCTTCTAGGAACAATTAGCATGGATGAGACAGCCCAATCATTTCTTATCAGGATGTACAATAGACATATCGTTATGTTGGAGACTAATACTGTCTTCGAATACAAAAAAGATGACAGCAATCAAATCATATACATGCAAATCGAATATTCCATATCAGCTATTGTAGAAGTATTTCATGTTGGTTCTGCCCACCAATACGTGATACAGACCTAACAATCAACTTTACACGTTTTACATGTCAGGTGATTTGATAATTTGTATGGACTTCTTCATGTCACATAGGTTGCGTGCCACATGAGCCGGAGTATGAAGGTATACAGGAGCGGTCACCAGCCACCTACGAAGCTGTGGAGTTACATACGTATGAAAACATGGACAGGAAAGTGAAAGGTTGAACATTTATTCCAATCTACTTTCTTTGAATGTTTACCTATTGCAGTGTAACCTGGTGTTGGTAACCGTGTATGGTGTTATGTATACAAAAGGCATGTTAAGCAGATATAATAGATCTGCATTTCTGTTTATCAGTGTGAAGAAGTGTATGTTATGAAGGATTACTTTATCCAGGAGTCAACCGTGCTACTCTGATCTTTTAACTGTGGACCCGCAGATGGTTTGTGACGTGTGCACTGCTGTCCCTCAGTTGCAGTTGCAGTTGTTGGGGATTTGATTTTGGACCAAGAATGTGTAACTGGTCTTATTTCCTCCCTTATTGTTTCAGATCCGACCTACGCCAATGCATCAACAACTGAGTAAAACGTATTGAGCCAGACAAGAAAATATGATACACCAAGCATAAATTTACAAGCTCTTCGTGACAAACTGCTTCAGACAAGCAAACAAACATGACAATGATTCACTTGTTTTTAAAATTCTTCTGAAAACGCTCTTTAGGTTTCGTAGAAGACAGCCTGTTACATCCAGATTAAGATCCATTAATTAATTGAAATTATGATTGAAATATTTTCTCAAGGGTTTTGAATGCCACACGAAGTTCAGAAAGATAAAGATGTACAACTTGCCTTGCCAGGAACTTTAAAAGGAGGGGAATAAGTCACATGAGCATGTTGTTATACCTCAACGAACATGCATCTTGTACAATGTAGGCTACCATACAACATACCTTGTTTCATTCCAGAACAACCAATTACTAATTACACCAAATTGATTTCAATCCTACTTTCGGTATTTTCAAATCTAACACACAGCAATACAACACTGAGATTTACACACTGTTACTGAATCACAACCCAAACCATTCATACCCATTATTTCGCATAGCTGCCTAGACATGTACATTTTACACGAGGTAACCCTCTGACAGAATGGAACAATTCTGGCCACACCGAATTGTAACAGTCTCTGTAATTACCCTTTTGAAATCGATTTTCCATTTGATCAAACTGCAAGAACAATGATGTTTAGTAGCATAATTGAAATGTGTAAAGTAAAGCTGGTCGCTGATGTGTCTATATTGTTAAATGGGAGCTATCATCTCAGCTACAATATACAGTTATTTGACTCTGTCCAGAAGTGTATCAACTACACTATAATAGATTTATGTAAATGTAAAACACCGTTCCTGCTGCTTCCCTCTGTTTGTATATACTCTATCTTTTATACATATGTCAATGTTGTTACTTTATAACGCTAACCATGTGAATGTTTTGGAGAGGTCTGCGGAAGTTGTGAAAACTTGTGCCAGATCCTTTTCCTTGTAAATAAAATATGTTTAAATCAATGGACATGTCAGTGTTTGATAAAATGTTTACATGACTGGCGCAGATTGTAAGCGTATTCATCCATTGGGTCTATGCCACTAGACCTCACACTGTAAGCCAGAGATTGAGTACCCGCGTCCATCTTCATAAGTAGGTGCAATCTTGAAGTAAGGGTGAACCATGAACAGCTACAACCTATTGATATTTAATAAGGAAGTGGTTTTACTTGTTTGATTGCATACATCTGTAATCGATCTCAGCACCTGAACACATTCAAATATCATAATGTACCCAGATGTCAAGTTACGTCCGTGTGAATGTAATAAAATATCCCGTGCTAGTGTAACCCAACAATGGAACTGACATGTTAGTTGAATAGCCTGTTCGGGGGATTGCACTGAATACGATGTTTAACGACATTCAGTCCAGCGTACATCTCTCGCTCAGATGATCAAATTACGGCAGTTTCTGTTTACTCACATTTACTCCATTCGTATCACGATCGATCATATTACGTCTACACTGGATTATCGACCAGTATTTGCAAGTCAACTAAACTAAAGTATAGGCTAATGAATAAATACGCCGAACAGTCTAACTTACTTACCATCTTACCATCTTACATGCATGGAACTTGATTAACTATATATTTTTCAAATTGATTTACACACAATTAAGATTCTGGTACTGGTAATCAAATACTTATTTAGTGAGTGAGCGAATGAGTAGGGTTTTATGCCGCTTTTATCAATACTCCAGCAATATCACGGCGGGGGACATCAGAAATGGGCTTCACACATTGTTCCCATGTGGGGAATCGAACCCGCGTCTTCGGGGTGACGAGCGAACGCTTTTACCATCAGGCTACCCTACCACCCATGAATTATTCATAAAGAACTGGATCTAAATAAAAAAGAATGCAAAGCAAACATAATGGTGTCATGATTTTTACTCCGTTAACAATTTTTTCTAAGTATGAGGTTACTTTTGTAAGAAAGAAAATATTGTTAATTTTGTCTAAAAAGGTCACAATCTGGCCATAAGGAATCAATAATAAAACATAAGTTTCACTGAAATTAGAGCCTTTTTTAGAGGACAATGGTTAGCATCGAGAATGGAATTGGGTTCCTGGGTCACGTGAGTCGACAGCGACGCCACAACTCTTGTCATGTCTGCCTTATATGAGTACAAGTATACACTTTTATACATTTGTTCCAGTGATTAATACAAGGTGCAATAACCACGTGCATCGGGTTACTTTCAAACTAATAAATAGCTGCAATCAATTTGGACACAGCAGTGATCATTAAGATACGAAAATATTGATGTGCCATTTCAATTAATTGATTCCATTGGTTGACATTAACTTCATTGAGGTTAAGTCAGTCTATGCATGGTAGGTGGCGTGACGTTTTATGCATCAATCAGCAATCCTTAGCTAAATAACTCCTTAACGTAATGATTGACACTGGGACAAAAGGACAGGTCAACGCATGACACTTCTATTGTACGATAACACTTCTTTTGTATGACATCAGTGCGCCACTTGTGTCAGTCTCTGAAGTTTTCCGTTCATGATATAACTGCTAACTTGATATTAGTTTATGCTTATAACTTATGGAAATCTGTTTGCACATTTTGTAAACGTACACACGTAAGAGTAGCTGTGTAACAATGTTATTGAAAATAATTTCTTCGTATTCTTCATATCTTCAATTACTTACATATTACTTTCAAGTCCTTACATTTACAACCAAAGTTGAAATTATTACTTTTTTACTTGTCTTGAATAAAACAATATCTTGTTTTCATGTTTTTAGTGAGCATGTAAGCAACTGTAAATATACCTGAAGTAACATCTGTCACTTTTGCCAATAGAACGGTTTTCCATTTGTAAGTGGGTAAGTATTAACTTTGAAAAGGCAGACTTATTCCGACAGCTTTAGAGTGAATAACACAGGGAAGTGGTGTGTGCAAGGCGGTGGAAATATTTATCAAATGGTTGGTGATGAAGTTATCTAAAGGCACCAATCTAGCCATAACCATGTGACATCTTCATGTTTACATTCACTTCACATTCACCCTTAATACAATTCCACACATACTCTTTTTAAAAGAGAAAGCTACTAGAAAATACGATTTAAATGTGAGGTGGGCTTCACTCTTCCCTAATTTGGAGTCCAATGCCTGCTATTCACTAGATTCACTGCAACGTAAGTCACACATAAGAGTTTATTGTAATGCGTGTATTTGTAAACATAAACACCGTTGATATTTTTATTTGAATGTAAAAGTTCCAATTTATCCCCCCAAAACTGGTTCTGTGGTTCTTGTAACCGATTAAAACCTTTTCCTGCACATATCTGCCCTATCTGGTGTGTTCAGTCACCACTGTATGTACAGGAATAGATCCCATGATCTGTGTCTGCCAGCCAGTAAGCAACGCTGTATACATTCTCATATGAATCAAGCCTATTTGGTTAATATGTTCAGTCAGTTAGGTGACAAAACCAGCGACACGCAAGTTATATCAGATAAGATATCTCTCAACTAGCAAAATAGTGTAGGCAGTGAACTTTGACATGGGTCATTGAAGCAATATGTCATTGTGTAAATATCTCACAAGTATGAAATGTGATATTCAAAGACCGCATACCTTCAATGACGTTCTCGACGCTTCGTATGCATCGTCTCCTGACGTCAAGTGATGTGGTGCAGCTGTGTATACGGTTACAGCGACGCAGGTTTTTGTGACAAAATATCGTCATTACTTGGACAATCCAAAGAAAGCAAAACACAAATATGAATAAATATTAGAAAGTGAATCATGCAAAGCATCCATATTAAAATTTGGGCTACTCATGGCGGCGTTAATTTCTTCTTTTACACACTTAACTAACCTAAAAGAGACATGATATATTCAGCTGCAGAAGTGATTAATGTTTTACTATGCTTCAAAGAGTTGTTTCCCTTTAAATTTGCAAATTTGGTAGCTTTGTCAGTGGATACCATGTGGAACATTAACAGTTAACACAGTGAAGCACTAGGCAAGCGATGTATCACATGTTTTGTGATTGACTTCTTTGTATATCATGCCTTGGAATTGTCATACCACTTATGTAGATAAACAGGAAAAAAAGTAACTGTGCTTCTTACAAAGTTCAGTAAAATTTTTTTTTTTTCAATGAAATAATGCACATTTCATAACATATTCATGAACATCTCTTCGACTTTAAGGTCATGATTCACAGGTTGTACATGTATGTTCACGCACGGCGCCCACAATTGCTGTTTGCGTGCTCAAGTTAGTGTTTTGGGGATGTGAACAGCACACAATCATTGTTTACGTATGAGGTGTTCGTAAAAAACACTTTTGCTTAACCGTAGATACCGCTTACGCAATGATATGACTTGCTGAAAATCAACGTTGACGTCCATTGGGTAGCAGCTTGACATCTCCTGCCCATGGAAGAGACGGGGATGCGAATCACATAATGGGGAATCGTCGCCCACACGGCCTGCAATGATACAGCCAACTGCTGCAACGTCTAGTGGTGTGGTTGACGTCGGCGGATCCGGGGATCTGGAGGCTCAGGGGAGAACATCAACGTTGTTGTTGTGTATACAGGCTCTTGTGATCCGTGCTGTATGCGGTCAAGTGTTGTCCTGCTGGAATTCACCGTTGCTGTTGGCTGCAAATAGGAGGGCATGTTGCAGGAAAATTTCGATGGTGTATCGTTGAGCCGTAAGATTGCCCTGGATATGGAACAAACCTGTCCTGTTATGATGAGAGATAGCCGCCCTGATCATAACGCTACCCAAACCAAACCTGTCGACTTCCCGTACGTAGTTTCCGGGGAAGCGTTCTCCCCGACGTCTGTAGACCCGTGTTCTTCCATCTACTCGACAGAGGAGAAATCTTGTATCACACTTAGAGTTGGATAATCTAAGCGGTTACTTCGACATGAACAACACAAGTCCCCCTGAGGGTCCACAACTGTTTATTTAGACAACAAATAAAGTGTTACAGTCGCAGGCCAGGTCTAAACTCTCTCCTCCCAGACCTTTAATCTGGTCACTTGTATACCCAGGGTCGTCAGCTAAAATCCTTTGTTTCACAACTCCCTGCATCTAGTCAATGTATCTGGTCAGTGGCTTTTTTTCCGAATCGTACATGTTTCCCGACTTATGTTTTGCATGTCCTTGTTGAGATTATTTTGATCTGGAAATTTGTCACTGACACTAAAACACATTAAACCTCTTCGTTTTGCACCCCATGGTCCCCTTATGATGCTTTTATGGCCAAACTTATTTGTATTGCGTTTCTTTTTTTGAAGAGTATATTACTCATATTTGTAGTATTATTGTCACAAGTTGTTCAAGATATGCTTTATGTTATGTGAACACTTAGAGAATTCTGTAACAGTAAAATGCCACGTTAATTCATAAATACCATTGTTATCTGCACCATCGTTATCACCATTATCGCCATTACAGACAGACGTTTAAACATCAACGTCATCAATTAGAGTTGAAAAGAATACACCTCCCCTGAACATCTACGTTTACAGCTTAATATGAAATGGTGATAATAATCAATAGCAATAGTATTACATTTCTTTACATCCTTTATATATTTTGTTTTTGTGCCCAGTCCTTATAGCATACTGTATTTCTTCTCTCAATTCTTGATATAACATCACACTGATGTATAACACGAAAGGAGTAAGACTTTAGATTTAACGTCGCCTCCAAGATAATTGCACTTATTTTGCGACGTGCATGCGGGCGTGCGTGTGTGCGTGCGTGCGTGCTTGCGTGCGTGCGTGCGTGCGTGCGTGTGTGTGTGTGTGTGTGTGTGTGTGTGTGTGTGTGACAGTCTACAATTGCATATACATTGGGTACTATACTATAAAGTAACAAAATGTGTTTCAAAGTCTAAATATATTAGAAGTAATTATATAAACTATATTTGTCCAATGACTTAAGGCATTACTTTTATGTACAGTGGACATGTGGTATCTTGTGTACCCCAACAATTTTAGGAAGTATTTTTGTATCATCATGTTTGTGAAACCTTTTGTTCCAAATGAAGTGAGGTCATTTGCTCTTTACCCCAACCTCAATTTTATGTCAAACAAGGATGATAAAATGTTAACGCCTAGCAGGATCAGTTGTCACAATGTTTTTTCCTATTGCAGGATATTTACATCCCCAAACAAACATGCGTGATAACCTCTATTTATCCTGGTGTGTTTGTCAGTGCAACCGACTTATAAATGTTTCCTTTTAATGTCTGACTTACTTGGGATGCAATGGTACAGTTTTATCCTACTAAACCAGATCAGTTCGGTTGTCAAGAAGAGGTGTTTTAGAAAGGAGCAGGAGAATATGAGAATATTACGAGTGTGTCGGCGGAATCTGTTAATATGTTTGTTTTACAATTTATAGCTAACAACCAGGGGCGGTGTACCTGTTGGGCAGAGGGATCTAAGTCTTCTTTATTGCCAACCCTTCTATATTAGAGTTTACCCATGGCAAGGAGAGCCGTGACAGTCACCCATGTCTCCCGTCAACAACAGTAGATACATGTACGATCCACAGAATGCACAATACGGTGATGGCCATAGTGAATTACTGAGCATCATATTGGAAATTCAGAAGCCATTTCACACAGACTTTGATTGCGTATTGTCCATGAAAGGGTCACTTGGCAGTACTACTGAGACAACATACTGGCGTCAATAGTTCACTAGAATGCAACGATCTAGCCATTATACCTTTCACCCATAGAGCACGTCTGGGACATATCAGGTGTCAGACGTCAGAGGAAAACCTCTACATTAGCCGAACTGGCTCAGACAATGGGAGGAGCATGGCCCATGACCCATCATTGATCAAATCAGCGCAAACTCCAGCTTCCTTATTCCTTCATGTGTATTATCCATTCATTACCATCACGCGATACATATTTGTATTTCTGCAATAATCTGTTATTTTCGAATACCCCCTTCCCCTCCTTTTGGAAGATTACATTTTGACGGATCTAATTTGCTATCACCAGTTCAGATTTTAACAAAGCCGCTGTATATGTATTTAACACTGAATCTGAAACCCATATGACGTAGATTGATCGGCTATATTTAGCCACTACTGAACTAGTTTAAAGCTAATGGTATACATGTAAACACGACCTTGTATATTACTTCCGTGTTGAGCTACCCGGTCACACACGACGACTGTAGCAACAATTTGTGTCTGGCAACTTGAAACCTCAGCAGGTATGTACTCTGCTATATTTCCAGGCTTACCACATGACATATTCTGTGTCTATGTTTACTGTTATCACCACGTGTGAACGCTTCTTCTGCATGACATAATATAGAGTAATCATCCACAACATCTCGATATACTCGCGCTCTTTGACGCGGCCTACATCTGCACATAATAATGTGCTTATCTAAACTACTCCCAATTCACATTTAAAGCACGCTCAAAGCGCTAGATTATTTACCATCAATAGATCAGTGTGAAATCGATTTTCATTCTCAGCCCCCTGGGAAGTATACAACCCAAACTGCGTCTATGGCATTAGAAGATTAACAGTCAAATGAACATCTCAGCCTACCGGGTACCCATTTATTGTTGGAGGAACAGAGGCGTGTTTCGAACAAAGTCACATGCCACGTGTATTTTGAGTTTTGAGCAAGACCGAAGACCTTGTCACTCTCAGGAATCTAGCTGCCGAATGCAGTCTCCAGCTGCCCTCTGCGAGTTGCTGGCCACGTGCCAGCACTATATGTGTCGCCTATGTATGAGTTATATGTACGTGAAGGGCTCATAAAAACACATATCTTGACAGGTAATATATAGTAAGTGAACACATGCTGATACGATTCGAGTGCCATGGGTTTTGTGGTCTTACAGCTTGCAGAGTTTCGGAGCCTTAGGCCCTCACACGATAGTCACATGTATCTGTTTAAACAAGTGAATTGAGGTCTGGTAAAATTAGTTTTAACATCGTGGTCAAGGTTACAAGGCTACTGCACTGATAGCGACGTGCATACACGTGTGTACATATCTTAATATGTGTGTTAGTGTGTCTATCTCTCGTCCGGACAGACGCTTTATCCACAAGACCACTGAGGCGGTCTGCTTACACAAGTATGCAAATATGTCTGTTTATAATGTGAACGCAGGACAAAAGGTGTACTTTGGATTCAGATGTACATTTTTACATGTTTTTGATATTTATATTCAGTACATGTCCAATTATGGCCTCAAAGGAAATATTGTAAATAGTTGCCTTTTTGTCAAGGCTAGAGAATCCAAGTTGGCGCCGGAAAATCGAAGCTATTTTGGAGATATTCACCCTTGATCCTACCAATCTGTGTTACAAAACTGATAAACATATTATTTAATTTAATTGTCTTTCAGACGGGTTGACAGCGGCGTGTGAGTATGTGTATATGGGTACGTGTGTGTATTGTGTAGGTTTGTGTATTGGTGTATGAACGTATGTGTGGGTACGTGTGTGTAACTACTCTGGATTAATAGATATCATAGTGCTAGCCAGCTGTGTCATCATGGATACCCAACTCAGACCCAGTATATTGACTCCAAGCCGATTTTATTCGTTCAATGCCGAGCGCCATGCAGGGTACACACAAGGACCATCTTTGAACATATTCGAGCGACTAGGCCACGAAGGCGGTAATCTCATACACGTAGCTCATGGACACTCGAACCTGCATGAAATGCATGATAGACGATGGACCTTCATTCCAGGTTCACCGAGGTGCCAGACAACAAGCATGGTGAAGATAGCTGCTGTTTCTATAATATATGCGATTGCAGGTATGTAATTCGTATAAGTGTGATAACTGTAATTGTAATTTACTATAGTTTTTTCGGTTTTGTGTTGATTGGTAATTTAACAGTAATTAGCTTACATACTAGAGATGAATGAAATACCTCCTAGTTTAATCATCAGAACAAGTCAAACAAAACGTGACTGTTTAGTACGGTGATACTTCTAGATATCCAAGTATCTTCTTCCTGCAGGTGTTGTGTCAGGGGCCCCCAGTGCCCGTCCAGTGTTGTCTGCAGTGTCTGACACAGCCAGGTTCAGCTGGGAGATTCCACAGGGAGGTCTGGGGTCAGGTCTCAGTTTCTACACTGTCACTCCTGCTGGTGCTGCTGTGTTCATAGTGGCAAGTACTGGGACAGTTGTTGTCTTGTCCAACTACAGAGGCAGACTGGTGTACCACGGGAACATAGCAGCCAGGAATGTCACATTCACCATCAACAACATCCAGACATCAGATGCAGGGACATACACGTGTGGGGCTGGAGGGGCTACTGCTGTGATACAGAACTGTGGACAGAAACTTGTTGTTCTGGGTGAGCGGCAATTTAATCAGTTGCTGTTTTGACGGTAACCATAGTTTAGCCCTCTAAATATCCAATATACATATTCAGATACCCTAACAATGTAAAGTAAACATAATCGTCCGTGTATTTGAATACACACCTTGTAGTCCTAATTTGACAGATTAGTCAAGCCAGCACTTTGATATTTATTATCTATATACCTAATCGATTATCAAAACCATAATTTTCTTTAAACATTAAGTATCTTTCGTTTTGGAATTCTATCTTTGTAAAGAGGTACGTAAACGCACAAAACAATATCGGTAACGCATGATCGCTTCCATTAGTGGGCAACAATATCTGAAATCTAAATGACAGTCTGATTGCATTCAGGGATACAGAATATGTATGTGCGTGCGTGCGTGCGTGCGTGCGTGCGTGCGTGCGTGTGTGCGTGCGTGTTTGCCTGTCTATTTGTGTGTCTGTATGTTACATTCCGTAAATCTACGTCAAACTACATGATCTACATAGTTTCATCCAATTGGTGGATTGTACTTCATTGTTCATCACATAACAGCAAAGTGAAAACTCGTTTACGCTCAACACTAAGGTAACCCCCAAACAATCCTCTTTTCAATAAACATACACCAATCAGAGCAGTTTGAAAATTTAAACAACATTTCATCACGTGACTTCCGTCAGGTATCTCCTGATCCTGCAAGTAACGATTTTGTTTTTGTACCCCATCATTCCTCTCTAATAATTCTAATAGATTTCCCAGGTAACAAACGAATGCATCGGAGATTAATGTCGCCTGCAAGGCAACACTGGTATAAGTGGTACTGATGCCAGAAGGATATTTGCGACTTTGTAGTGCTGGAATTGAAGACAAACGTAACAGCAAAGCTTAATTTGGTGTTAGCGCATCTCCCACCAGTAAAATGGTTACATGTAGTCAAAGCAAAAAGACAACCTTATCTCGAACACAAGCTTGCCCATTGATGAATGAAACTAATATTAGTGAGCTAACAGTATTAAAGTGGGGGGACGTACCCTAAATCTTTACAAATTGTGTTTAATCCCCAAGGACATGTGAGTGAGAGCAAAAAATAGTAATCAGTGTGATTATTTGATTTCAACCCACGGTCATTTTGTCTCGCACGCCTAAATGACGCAACTCTTACTGTGCATTGCGCTCATAAAATATACATTTTCAACCCGTCAGTACAAATGCAGTGCACGTTTTAAATAAAATCAAATAATGTGTATAAATGTATATCCTTCTGGAACAAAAGAACACACGTGTTTTCAGTTGCACCATGGTCATCACTTCGGGACACGAACTGCTCTGCTACAGACGACTGTGCCATCTGTAACTTAAAGTTGTATTAATCAGGCGTGGATAGAGGTCTTTGGACTAAGAGGGATGCATTTTGGTTTTTGGCAATTCGCGTTTAAAAAAAGAGTAATTTGTGTAAGGTATAGTTAACCAAACAATCACGTAGCCTCTGTGTGTGTGATTGTTGTTGATATCACGTTTGTACTGTTAGATCCTAACATGGATGTTGATACCACGTTTATACTGTTAGATCCTAACATGGTTGTTGATTTCCCGTTTGTACTGTTAGATCCTAACATGGTTGTTGATATCCCGTTTGTACTTTTAGATCCTAACATGGTTGTTGATATCCCGTTTGTACTGTTAGATCCTAACATGGTTGTTGTATCCCGTTTGTACTGTTAGATCCTAACATGGTTATTGATATCCCGTTTGTACTGTTAGATCTCAACATGGTTTTAAGTGTAGAAAAAGTAACCTTCTTACAAATGCTTTTCTTTTAAGATGTATCACATTTTGTCAGTATGAAGATGATTATATGACTTAAAGCTGGTGTAAATGTTAACAAAATAACATGGCGCGTGGAAAACCCGGATTCGACTCTCTAACTGTGTAAAATATGAGAAAGCCATTTGTATTAACCCCTCCGTGTTATTAGTGGAATTTTGCTAAAATAACATTAACCACACTCATACACTCACTCACGCATTCACCCACTAATTCATTCACTCACTCTAGAACTATATATATATAGAGAGATCCTTGAACTCTTATATATGAACTCTTTGGAAAGGCAAGCCCACCACTCCTCGCCGTCCTGTGTCAACAACTCCTTTCTACAACCAGCAAGTGACCTTGACCTGCAGCTCCTCCTCTACAACTCTCCCAGCTGACCATGGCCTGACCTTGACCTACACCTGGCAGCGTGACAACACTAACATCACAGTTACCTCCCCTGGTTCCCCCTACACCTTCACAGTGAGTTCCCGGGACAGTCACAGCTACAGATGTAAGGCAACAGAACGCCAGGGTCTGGAGTCAGAGTGGAGCCAGGGGTACGACATGGAGCCTCAGTGTAAGTAATGTAAACACATTACCGATTCATGCAAAGCTCAATCACCGTTGGCCAAAATGAACAGCTATCAAACATACAATAATAAAACACAAACAGCAACAAGAACTACTTTTTCGACGAAGTAGCGTAAAATTATTGTCGCCCTAAGAGGGTATGTAGGTCCCAAATCATTCAAAGTATTTTTATGCATACCAGACATTTAAAACGTAGCATTTTTGTCATTTTAATCTTAGGCTTAACTGGTAAACTATCGCCAGTGATTGAAGGGATGATATAAATCCTGCCAGGGTCTATGCATGAAGCAAAGGTACTGTAAGTCCCCATGGTCCCTAGTATGGTGATCTCCCTTTAGCTACTGACGATCTCTAGCCCATTTTTATATTGTGTTGTTCACTGATACTTATGGCTTTTATATATTCTAAACTGGATTTAAATCGGATCTGTGATATTCTAGTTATTGTACTGTCCATCGATGACAGCTTTTTATTTAGTCTAAATATATGTATTATTAACGTACTTCTCGTCACGATATGGCTGAAATACTGCCGATGTGACGTTAGATCTTAACTCACTCACTCACTCTTGTGGTCAACATCGGCTCCCCGAACCTTCACAGGCTACATGTTTCCCCTGAATGCTGAAGTGTCTAACCTTAGGTTAGTCTGTCATAAACGTGTTTTACTAAAACAAAATGTTTAAAAAATATTATAATATCATGTACTATTAATTTATTATGTACACGTTGGAGATATCACAATTTAATAAACAAATAGTTGTATTGCATACTGTGTAATAACATCATATCCGAGCGGGACTATTTGTGGTCATCAGCTGATCGTTGGAACGGAGGCGTCCGTAACCCATTGCAACTGTACACAATGTTTACTCTGCTACCAGACGGATAGCCTAGTCAAGAAAGAAACTATTAAAATTCACGAAGCAAGGCATAAAATGCTTCGTCTGAAAATTGGCTGTATTATTGACATAAATATTTGAATTTGTCCATGGGGTTTTGCAGTCGCCTATGATCTTTTGCACGGTCTTTTGGGAATAAATACGCTTGTAATGGAGAGGTACATGGACATTCTTATTCCACTATTACAAAAGCTGTGGCAGCATAAAGTTCAAGAGCATCACTTATAAACAAAACGTTATGTCGAACCATCATCACAAAATGCATCATACTTACGACCTTGAACTTCATTTTACAAATTAGAGTAGGCCCAATGGACAAAATGGACAGCAACTACAAATGTGAACCGATGCAATCCCCTGTCTTAGTGCACCATTATTGGTAATGCCATACACTTATTACAATCAATTTAATTACTTAAAAGACTGCTTCCTTGGTCTCGTTGATGGAACGTCCGCCGGAGAGTGGAAGGTCTATGGTTCGATTCCCGGCCTCGTCGAACCAAAATACGTTTAAAGATAGTACTTGCTTTGACTTTGCCTGACACTCGGCATTAAGGGGGCTAAAACAATGACTGGTCAACTCAGATGTTTCTGAGTGAGGGATTCATGTTAAACTTGGCATTAGTCCGGACTTGTACAATCAGCCACACACATGCACGTGCACGTGCACGTGGCTCTAAAAGTGCACCTCTCCTCATAGCTTATAAACTAACTGCTGACTCGTGTACAATCGCATAGGCAACATGACAACATCGATTTGCTGATGCGTTGTTCGTTTCTTGAAACACCCTAGCATACTCTGAAACGAGTTTGGATATATAGACTGACGGACTCAAAGGGAGCTTGACCATTTGCCAGCATCACCTGTGTTTCAAAGGAGAATTGGCTTATTTGTAAATATAGACATCAACAGACTATAGTCAAGTTTCCCGATATTTTTTTTTCTCACAGCCTGTCGCCTTGAACATACACAAAATGTAATAACAATGAACAAATAATTTATTAAATATCTATATATCATGCTGAACAATTATATTTTGATAGCCACACCAAACAGTGGAACGTTTAAACAATAGCTCATTCATGTGCATGCTGCTATTAAATACACGCTCTGTTGTCATATAGGTTTCAAAGTGATTTTCTGAATATCATGAACTCATCATTGTTTACCACGTGTGTGTTCTCGTATGTCTGTATCTTGTATCACGGTATCAGTGTCACAGCGCCATGTATTCCAGACGGGCCCTACCAGATCTCCCTGACCCCCTCCACCTCCTCCAACACTGTGACAGAACACCAGGCTCTTCCATCAATCACATGCTCCGCCCTCTGTAGACCAGGATGTAGCTACAGGTGGTTACACAATGGAACAGCCTTCAGCAATGGAGCCACTCTGGGTCTAGGACAAGCTGACAGATCTAAGACAGGCTCCTACAGATGTCAGCCTTCTAATACACACGGGAGTAGTGACAGTGTTACAGTCAGTGTTGATGTTCAGTGTAAGTATATAGTCTACACTGGTGACAGTGTTACAGTCAGTGTTGATGTTCAGTGTAAGTATATAGTCTACACTGGTGACAGTGTTACAGTCAG